GTCGGGACTCCCCGATTCCTCCTCCCATTCTTTCGCCAACGCCTCCGTTTCTAGTCTCTCCTCAGGGGCCTCCGGGCAGTTCTGTGACCCCTTCGGCCAAGGATCCACCCCCTGTGTGGACTGCGTTTCAATCGCAGGCAGTCTGGTTCATGCGCGCCCCGCTTCTGCCTCTTTGGGGTCGCGCCTTTCCAGTCCACAATGGAGAGTACAGAATGGGGAGGGAGTCGGGACTCCCCGGTTCCTCCTCCCGTTCTTTCCCCAACGCCTCCATCTCCAGTCTCTCCTCAAGGCTCTCCCAGCCAGTCTGCACTCAGCCCCGTAGCTCACCGGCATACAAGCTGTGTGCGGAGCGCACAAAAGGCAGGTTAATTGATTCCCTTATGCCTGAGCGAGATGGTAGCTGCAGAGTGGGAGGCGTGTTATCACCGGGGCTCCACCGGCCGCAGTGTCAGTTCTCTTCACAAAGTTTTCCTCACCAGTCTTTTCCCAGGCACCAGCCCACCCTGCTACCGCCTCTACCGAGAGATCAAGGAGGGTGGCTGCCGCTGCAACTTTTGCGTGTGCCCTTTAAATGTCTCTTTGCATCCCCAGCCACCTGTCTCTGGCAGAGAGCACCCCTAAGCTTTTTGGGGTTGCGTTTTGTCTGTATTTTCTCGGCTTTAGCTGCTGTAGTTTAGGGGTTCCTGTTTATGATTCAGACCCCGTTCTTCTCGGGGAAGCTAACTGGCCGTTTCAATGTCCCTCTGGTGCCAGTGCCCGTGGGCACCCAGCCCACCCTCTCGAGCCTCTACCGCACTTCTCACCCATTGGGATGTGTGAGAGTAGAATCCACTGTCCGCAGCACCAAGGCTCCTCTCCCACTATCGCTCCACTGCTTTCCAGGTGATTACTCCATTATTTAGTTGCAATTCCAGTTTGGTTTTGGGAGGAGGTCAGCGTGACTCCCATTCACTCCTCCGCCATCTTCTCTGTTCCATATTTTAGTTGTAATTTTGTTGTGGTTGTGCAAAGAGGTGAGCCATGTCTGCCTATGCTGCCATCTTGACCAGAAGTCCAAAAACTGCAATATTCTCTACACTTAGTATTTGGTTAAACTGAGAGTTATATATTGTACTTAATTGAATTACATGTGACTGGAAGTTCAGTAGCTTCCTCTGAACTTTTGAACAGGTGTATACTGTCTGAGTGATTACTCAGTGACTCATGGTACATGAGTCAGTCCCCCCAACTTTCCACTAACTTTAAGAATGCTGTGATATATTTTATGAAATGTAGAGGTTTCTCCTCTCTTTAATTTCAAGGCCTAGCCTGTGACATACAGTCCCCTATGCATATGTCCTCCTAACAAATTTAGACCCAGATTCCTTCTGTCAGGGAATTATACCTTTGTACACCTTATTGGAAGAGCAGTCATTTCTCCAGCAAAGAATCATGCTTCACTTATATTTGTATCCTAAGGCTCCACGTCTTTGCTCATTATTCTAATGCTTTATTGTAGTATCATGTTTCTTAATCCATTTAAGTTAAGAATTAGGAATTTTAACTCAAATTAAAAGTCAATTTTCTGTGCTGCCAGTGGAAAAAAATTCAATGGAATGATACCTGCTATGCTCAGCCAAGGTCAGTGTATGTCCTCCAGGTATAACAACCAGGTCACAATTAAACCCTCTGACTGTTACCTTGTCAAGTGTCTTATGCCATCAATTAGAAGATATCTTCTGTTTTCAGAAACATTAAAATTTGGGGAATGGGATAGAATTATTATTTAGAATTTTGGCATTTTATATTTTTACTATGGTTAGGTGGTAGGGGTTTTAATTTATTATTACTACAGTTGTAACCTGAATTAAAAATCACAAAAATTACTTAAATTGCAGGCATTGCTATGGTTCTTTATGGGGTTAACACATCACTTGTTAATAAAATCATGTAGCAGCTAGTGGAATTGGGCGGGTAGTCCTCAGGGTCATTGCCTTGCCAATGGAATTGATGAAACTTTGAAAAGCAGTACTTGATACCAGTGACACAGCTGTGGCATAACGTGTCACGCACTCCCATGCCAGTTCTAATCCCATATTCTCATACCCAGCTCTAGAATCCAGCTTCCACACCGTGTTGATGGCAGCTGACTACTGCTACCACTCGCATTTTCTGCAGTGCTCATGTTCCCAGCCTAGACTAATCTGTGAGAGTCTGTCTTCACCTGTGAAAGGCATTCGATGTCATGATCTGCATATAGGTATCTCCTAGAGTCATAGAATCTCAGAATTGAGAGGTACCTAAATGCTCATCCACAATTATGTTGGCAGCAGAAGGTATCCTAGAAGCAAGACATCAGGAATGATCCGGAAAAGGAGGAGATAGGAGCTGGGTCCCCATCACTGTTGCAGGGACAGCTAAGCCTTGTCTGGTCCATAGCCCACTGAAAAAGGATTCTAGAAGACTCTACTCGTCCCTTCCTCCTGCCATATGTAGCTGTATATTTTATGAAGTTACATGAACTCATTGAGCTATGCTCCAATGAGTCCCATTTTTCTTTGGGATCATGGGGTCCTTAACCAAGAGCATGCATCAGGAAAGGACACACTCGCAATGGGCACAAACCTAGTAGTTTGTGGAATTAACTGCCGAACAAATTTAATATGTTTATGCTGGCAGCTTAGGAGTGTTCCTCTTTTTATTTAATATTCACATTAATATATCTGTATTCAAATACATACAGTAATTTTGTACCTGTTTGCAGCAAGCATATGAGGAACAAGAAAACACATACAACACTGCCCAGAGTTTTATTGTGTGGGGCTTTTTTGTGGGGTAGTTAGTCTGACTCTAAAATAGACACTGGCCACCTGAAACATGGCTTTGTATTTTTTTCAATGACAATGCTGTCATACTACCACCTCAAATGAAACAGTGATGGAAGTGTGCTTAAATTAACGGGGGACTTGGTTGTCTTTTTTATGTCTCACCTGACAATGATGATGAAGATTCCAGCTAACATAGGTTACCAGGCTCCTTCTCAGCTGATTTGATGTAGTAGCTCATATGATCATCATAAATAGCTCAATAAAGTAGAAACTAGTGTTTTCATTTTAGAAATGGAGACACTGAAGTGCAGAATGGGTAAGTAACTTTTGAGGCCAGACATCTGATCATGCAGAAGGGAAGACTGGAATCAACCTCTCTGATTCTAGAGCACATGATCTTTACTACTGTATACTATATAGTTTGCCTTCATAAAAATGTTTTAACCATTCCTTCCTCTTCCTAATATAAATAGAATCCCTGGCTGTTAAAATGCTATGCTTTGACTAGGATATTATAATTCTTTATTGTTTAACTACCATCTTAGTGTTGCAGGTGAGCGGCGCGGGTCACTGCTCGTCCCTGGTCCAGTCAACAATTGCCACGGGGACAGAGCATGTCGCAGGGAGCACAGCGCTCTAGGCTCTGAGGGTTACTGTCCCAGGCCAGCTGAGATGGGAGCATGGAGCTCTGAATCCCGCAGAGCCCGACCCAGGGGTGTCATGGATTGGGAATAAACGCAAGTCGTCACAAACACTTCTCTGTTTGCCAGGAGAAGGGACATGGCTCTTCCTTCTAGTGGGGAAGGCCCTGAGCCCCTTTGTTCAAAGGCTTTTACTGAAAAGGTTATCAGTGGGGCCAGGTAACAGGAATGCACAGGTTATCTCATTACATCAGTATGTTAATGTTTACAGAGAATAGATGATGTTTGGAAGAAAACAAATGGCAGGAACACACCGATTTACAGGGGTCCAAGAGGAGACTAGTAAACAAGAGAGAAAAGTAAATATGAGAGTGTAGTAAACATAAGAGTGCCAAAGAATATAGGGTCAGGGTCTATGAATAATGTAAATTTCCATCCCAGCATGAGCTGGCTATCATAACTTTTGAGGGAGAAACAAAGCATACTTTAAAAAATTTACTTTTAGGCCTGATTTCCCCCAGGAACCGCCAGATCTAGTTTAGAACTGTCTCCAGTATTGTTTCGAGCCTGAGCCAGGCAGGGGGAAGGGAGCTGCCAAGAGACAAGGAGACTTCTTTCCTTGAAAGAATGAGGACTCTGGCCATGTCCAAGCCAAGCCAAGGGGTGCAGGCCTTTTTGCCCTTTCTCAGTGTCCCCCAAGTCCATGCCTGCTGCCCATACTGGCCAATGTTTGTCTTAGGTTGTTTCTCCTCATGGGGAAACTTAACCTGTCATCAACAACCAACCATCACAGGGCCAAGTAGGGTGATGTGGGGGAGGCGGGGGCTGCTCCCCTGCCAGGGGGACAGGTTTCATCTCCTTAGTGGCCCAAGGCCTCCTTGATTATTTCCAGCCTTGGGTCCCTTTCACCTGCCAGCAGGGTTACAGTTCCTGAAACCAGACAGGGCGTTTTCCCAACATCTTAGTCTACCTGGCATAGCTATAACTTACTGTGGGAAAGTATTATGGGGAAATACCATTAGATTTTTAAGTAGAGATGATCGGCGAGACATGTGGAGTACCAAATGTTCACACAATGTTGTTTTCAGCTGTTCCCATTTGCACTGTAAGTCACAGAGAACTTGAATAACAACTTTTTTCCAAAATGAAGAGTTCTAAATATTTTCTGTGCTTGCAGACAATGTTAACAAGTTTAAGTTCATTGTTTTTCTACCTAATAAATTTTCTAGGAATACAGTGACCAAAAAATCTGTAAGCATTGCATCACCATTACATTTCCAGGTGTTACACATTTCTCAAGGGGTTCATTTGCATACTGTTTTCCCATTAGTATGTGCTCTGAGTGAGTTTGTTTTATCATTACATATGTTGAAACAATTAAAATTGACAAAATCCACATAAAGGGCATTTCTTTGTCACCAGAGCAGAAATCAGTCCATTTGTGAAACAGTGTTCATGCAGAACCATTACTTTTTAAAAAGATGCTGTGTGTGTTTCCTTTAGACCCTGCAGAACTAATTAAAATACCGACTTGTGTGTGGTGTCATTGTAGGCTAAAGGTAAAGAAAGACAGTGGCTAAGACACCAAGCTACCGGGGAACTAGATGATGCCAAGATCATTGATGGTCTGACTGGGGAGAAAGCCATCTACAAACGCCGGGGTGACCTGGAGCCGCAAGTAAGTAATGGTCACTTAATCGCCTCAGATTTGGAGAGTTTGGCCTTCTCCATAGACATCTGCCTTCTAACACCAGAAACCCTGAATATGGCAACCAAGAAAAGCACTGTATTAAAAAAAATTAGAAAAAAAAACCCTATTATACTATTTATTATATGATTCAAAATCCAAACATGAGTCAGGAAACACCAAGCAGGCATGTTCAAATTGAGTAATTTATGGAACAGTTAATTATAAGGCAGTTCATGTAAGTAAGGGTGGGATTTAGGAAAGCCAGAAAGAGGCGGTGTGGGATCCCGACGGCAGGGTCCGAACCCGCCCTCGGTCTGAAAGGCACAGAGGGCGAGAGCACTTGCTGGAACCTGGAGAGGGCTGTCCAGCAGGAGCGGTGGCCCTCAGCAGAGGGAGGGCTCGCCCATGGGCCACAGCGGAGAAGGGGCCGAGGGAACAAATACCCCACCCTCACCCGCTGACCTCCTGCCAGTGCCTCCCATCAGCAGAGCCCACCTGGAGGCCAGCAGCCAAGAGAGGGGCTGAGGCTTCCCTACAGATCAGTTCCCAGGACACCGAGCAGGGTGCTCTAGAGGGGACTGAAGACTCTCAAAGCCTGTGAATCCCAGAGGCTCGTATGAGTGAAAACACCAGAGTAGTCTTGGTGGTTTTCTTCTGTTCTGTTAGTTTAAAGATGTGTATCCATCCTATGACTGCAGAAAACTATAGAAGACAAGGAATTTTCCTTTAAATAACTCCAACATAAATGTATATAAAGCTTTAGATAATCATAATATTAAAATATTTGTAAAACAAGGGCAATAAAGTGAAACACTGAGTTTCTTGGAGGGTTCTGTGACTTCCTATGCCCCTGAATTACCAAAATTGTGAAATAGCCACTGAGAGCTGGGGGCACACTGACTGGTGGTAGAGGGAGTCACGTCTTCCACATAAAAGTTTCTTGAGAGAGGATCCTTTGGTAATTTGGGGAGTTCGTACTTCCATGTCATCGGTTTGAGTCAACAACTGCTTTCTTTACTGACTCATTGTGGTCAACGAATGTGTTTAGATACATCTGAAATTGTGAGTAGTTATGGAAGCATGCGTGGCACTCTGCTTAATTTAGGCAGACTCAACAAGTTTTGAATATATTGAATTTGTCACAAACCATTACATTAATACCTACAGTATTTTCTTGAAATTACTACTTTACTCATTAATTTTCATACATGTCAGCAAGTATATAATAACAGAATAGTCTGGAATTTTTCTTCTTCCTTTTTTCTTAGAAGTAAACTGACAAATATACTTTTGTTTTTGATTCTGCAAATTGTCAGCTATGAGTCCAAAATCAAACTGAAACTCATGAGGGTTTCATATTTTAATTGACAGTTGTTGCTAAGTAGCAGTGAGGTGCTACTTTTATGCCTTTAACTGCCAAGGAAGCAAAGAGAACTAGTAATTCAGTAACTGGAAGGAGGAGAAAGCTGAAAGCTTACTAAAGACAAAAGACGGAAAGAATATTTTCCTTCAGTTCTTTGCCAGACCCGCTCTCACGGAACCTTGTTTTAGGAATCTGGCATTTTGCGTGGATTCCGTGGAAAATGATTTTCAGATCACTGCACAGTAGGTTCAAGTAAAATTCATGTGGACTTCCAAAATAGCTCAGTCTTGCTGGGTAACCGAGTCTGAGGTATGACATGACAATGATATATTGGGGTTTATATCTTTCCAGCTTATTATTTTTAAGACAGCATCAGCTTCAGTAAGGCAGTTTTACTAGAACAGGTTGGGTCTTGAAAGGACCACATATTCCAAAGGAAGATCTTTCCCATGCGACCCCACCACCAGCACAAGTCTGGAATTCCATTTACTGAAATGCAGTTAGTAGATGCCTTTCCCGCTGCCTCATGTAGCACTGAGCCTGTGGCTTACCTGCCTGCCTCGTGCTGGCATTCAGGGCCTGTGTGAGTGAGATCTCCAGAACAGCAGCCAGTGATGGTTTTCTGGTTCACAAGACTCTGTTGTTCCCTCCCTCAGCTGGGAAGCCCCCAACAGAAACCCAAACGCCTGCGCCTGGTAGTAGATGTGTCTGGCAGCATGTACCGCTTTAACGGGGTGGATGGCCGGCTGGAACGCTCCATGGAGGCTGTGTGTATGGTAATGGAAGCCTTCGAGAACTATGAAGAGAAGTTCAAGGTAATGTCATGAACTAAGGATGACGAGAGGCATCACTTACTACATGTGCCCGAGACTCAGCCCCGACTTAGGGCATGGTGCTGGGTAGGTGGATGTGGTCTCCACCCAGAACAGACAAAAACCTTCATCTTCTCATCAGTTCATGTATCACAGAGAAAGCGAGCCTGTAGTTTTATCTGCTCTAATAATCAAAAAGTGATAACACCAGAATTTGAAGGAGCACTTACTACAGAAGAAAGCACTGAACTTCACAAGTTGTATGATGTTAGCCATAATGTTTGGGGAGAAACAACAACAAAAATAGGCACTTAGAAGAACCACAAGTCTCTTCCCAAATTTCTCAGAGCCACCACCCTCATTCCGATTTCTCCCACCCCCATTCCCATTCTTGCTCATCAGCAACCAGGCAGCCTCCCAAGGTTCGAGTACACCCTCCAGATATGCTGTTCTCAGCACTGTTTTGTCTTTCCACTTGGGCGGGGATTACAGAGTGATAGATGGCTCCCCGGCTGACAGTGAAGATGGTAGCCCTGGGAGAAATGTAGCCTTCCGTTCAGACTTTTCCATCTTGCTACTGCTCAGTTTGCTCTGCATCCTCCTTTAGAGGTCTGAGCAGGAGAAGGGATCCCCTGTAGCCTAAGGTGAGCCCACTGATTCTCTCTTAACTCTGCAAGCCACAGAGAGCACTTGCACTTTTGGCCCTTAACAGAGCAGATAACCTCAAATTCAATCGCATGCTGTGTATTTATTATCAGAAGTTCAGTTGAAAGAAAAGATACATATGCAGACATGTGTAAGGGGTACACGGTCTGTACATAGACATTCTAGATTATATTCTGGGTCAAATGTGCCCTCAGAAATAGGTGAACTTCGATCATTATTTGGCTTGACATCCCACCTACACTTGCGGATTGCCGTGTGTTATAGTGGATACAGCAAGAAACAGATTGGTGAAGCCCGCTGCCTCATTTACTTTAGGCTCATTTGTGAGGCTCTGAGTCTCCCAGGGTCCCTTGTATGATGCTCTACATGAAAGATTGCTTTTAGAATTAAATGGTAGGAAAAGGCATGTGGATTAAATGGAAAGAAAAAGGAATGCTGTGTTGCCAAGGTTCTGTACAAGTACAGGATGCAACTATAAATAGAACATGAACTTTCACTGTGGGGAGTAGCTTTGTTTCCCTTAAAGAACTGGAGTATATTTCCCCTTGTGATTAGTGAAAACTATGAAGCCGTTTTAAGATTCCCTCTTGGTTTTCATTGCCAGGAAGCTCTGAGCTAAAATCAGAGACCTGCCATGACCACTTGGTTATGTCTTACAGTTTGCAGACTGGAGTTCAGCTTTTCCTTCCCCTGACCCTGCCTCCCTTTAGGTGTAAGTTTTTCTCGATTTTGATTATTTAAATTAAAATTTTTTCTTCTTTCATCCTCACCCAAGGATATTTTTAAAATTAATTTTAGAGAGGGTAGAGAGGGAGAGAGAGAAAGAGGAAGAGGAACGTTGATGTGAAAGAGAAAATTGATCGGTTGCCTCCCATACATACCCCAAGCAGGGATCGAACCCACAACCTTTTGTTGTACAGGATAACACTCCAACCAACTGAGCCACCCAACCAGGGCTTGATTTTGATTGTTTTTACTCTGTTATGTTTTATGGATTTATAGAAAATGTTTCTTTTAAAATATTTTAGATCTTTTCCAATTTGAGGTAGAGGATAATTCTTAAATCACGTAGGCCACTGATAAACAAAAGGATGGTTAGAAATGACTGCATTAGCATAAATCCCACCTAATGTTTTAAAAACTCTGGATTCCGCTAATATGTGAACCAGCACATCCACCTCTTTTGTGGATCTTGAAGGTCAGTGTTCCTCAGCTTCCTTTGAAATTTTAATCAATTATAGGCTGTAGCAAACATACCACTATGAAATTTGGCATACTTATGCAGAATAAAATTTCCAGTTATCAAGAGGATTTCTATACCTTTGAGAGCAGAAGTGCTCTGAATTGTGAAACTACCACAGTTCTTCCAGGTTTTAAGAAAGATTTATTAGAAGTTAATCAATAAATTGGTTACACAGCTCCCCTGGACCTGTTAAGGATTAGGCAAAGGGCTAAAGGTGACAAAGCTAATAGGAAGTCCAGGAACCACTCCAATAGCATGCAGGTAGTTGGTGTGATTATCACAGAGTGTGTTGAATAGTCCGCTACATTTTACACAATGGAGTGTAGAGAGATTCATATTTGTCCAGCTCTCACTGTGAGAAGTCTGTAATCTGGAAGCACTATTAATGAAACTGAACATAGACAAAAAAGAAGCAACATCAAGGAAATAAGTATTTACAAGATGTTTTATTTTTGTTCCCAATTGACAGTTACAAACCAGATAATGCTGAATGAGGTACTAGATTTCAATTAATTACAAACATTAATTGAACACTTGTTAATGTAGTGTACTCTGCTGGGTGCAGAGTTCCCTGCCATCCTTGAGCTTGTAGCCTGACGATGGAGACATATAAAAATGACTAATTCAGATAGATTTGCTGAGGGAATTATAATAAGAGGAACATACAACCACAGTGCTGCTGCCCTAGACCCTCTCCAAGACATCATTTCTAAGGCAGTATTTTGCTGATAGACTCTTCTATTGCCACAACAATGTAAAGAATTTTCTCAGTCTTTATTCATAAAGCCACAGCTATATTGATCACTGTAGTGATATGTGACAAGTTGGGTCATATATTTATAGGAAGATATTATAGAGGACACCAAGAAGTAGCTTTATCATTTTTATGCTGTTCAATTTTTAACAGGCAGTACTTCAATGGTTTTGGTTTTGTGAAATTTTTGTGTACTTACTAGGATTCCTCACATTCACTACAGTTCCTTTGGAACTTTAAGAGCATACAAAGTGTTATGAAACTAGCACATTAAAATCTTTTCAACAAAAGGAAATATCTTAAGACTTCACAAAACAAGCTCTTTGAGGAAAAGTGGTACTTAGGCCAGTGTCTGGAGGGATGAGGTAGGGGGACAGGACAGGGAAGGCATAACCGAGTCCTGCTCCGGCCAGTTCCTCTTCATGTCCACAGACATCAGAACTGGGGTCTCTTCCCAAGTTATTTCCTAGAGTTTCCTCATGCCTCAGACAGGAAACTGAGACCCAGAAACAGTAAGGACTTTTCCCAAAATTGGAAGGCCAGCTGGAGACAGAGTAGGATGGAACCCAGGACTCTTTTGTTTGTTTTCCGTTTTTTGTTTTGTTTTTAAATTGTTCCCTTCTCAACCTTTGAAAAAATTTAAACCTACAAAAAAGTTGAAAGGAGAATAAAATTAATACCCATATGTCTTCACTTAGATTCACCAATTGTTAATATTTTCCTTCATTTGCTTTGCGTTTCCCTCTAAATATATATATTCAACCCCCACACCCTGAATCATTTGAAAGAGAATTATAAATACCATAATGCTTTACCTCTAAATACTTTATTATGCTTCTCTTTAGAGTTAGGACATTCTCTAATGCAACTTCAGTGCCATTATCACATCTAAGAAAATTATCAATTTCACAATATCTTCTAATATCAAATCTAAATTCACTTTTCCCAGCTATCCCAAAGGTGTCTTTTTCTAATTGTTTTTTACCCCCACAATCCAGGATCCAGTCAAAGTCTGCACCTCATTTTTGGTTGTAGTGTCTTATCAGCCTTATTTAATCTGAAGCAGCCATCTCTCCTGCCACTACCACTTTTGCTTTTTGTGACGGGCACTCTTGTGAGAATCCAGATCAGTTGTTTGTATGCCTTTCATTCTGGATTTGACTGGCCTTTTTCTAATAGCGCCATTTACCTCATCCCAATATCCTCTATATTGCCAGAACTGCTAACAGTCTCTGCCCGCCCCCCCCCGCCCCCGCCTCACACACACCGGGTACCCTGGACATTTTGTTTAACATTCCACCACCCCTTCCAACATACCTAAGATTTTGAGTAGCCACGGGCCACCCAATCTGTCCTGGGGCTGTCCAGGCCTCCTTTCTAGACACTGCGAAGGGGGCAGGATGGAGCCTACTTACATTCTATGAGAACTTTTTGTTATAATTAAGTATTTTAGGGTATAGGTAATGGGTGCACAAAATAGTACAAAATACAAAAGGTACAAAGGAGTAAGAATGAAGGCATAAGCTTCCCTGTCTCTCAGCAACCAGTGCCCCTCTCTGGTGGTAACCAGGGATAGTGGACTTTTTTGGCATTTTCTCAGAGACACTTGATGTATATACAGGAAGTGGCAGTATAGTATGCTACACTGCTCTGTATCTTTATACTATGTGATTATATTCAACTCATTTAATCTCTCTGTACTTTCATTTTCTTTTTTAAAAATATTTATTTATTTATTTATTAATCCTCAACCAAGATTGGTTTTAGAGAGAGAGAGAAAGGGAGAGAAAGAGAAACATCGATGTGAGAGAGAAACATTTATTGGTTGCCTCCCATACATGCCCCAACCAGGGATTAAACCCACAACCTAGGTGTGTGCCCTGACCAGAAATCAAACCCGCAACTTTTGGGTGCAGGGGATGACACTCCTACCAACTGAGCCACCTCACCAGGGCTGTACTTTCATTTTCTCCTATGAAAGAAGCATAATAACTAGGACTAACTCACGAAAGTACGGAATTTACTCAGTAAATATAAAGTGATGCATGGACAAAAGACAATTTTCGGAGCTCCTGGAAAGAAATTTATATTCCGTCACCCAGGATGGCATTGTATATGATGTCTTTAAGAAATTGGAAGTGTACTCTGAGACTTCCCACTTCCTAGTTCCAGACAGTTCTTAATGTCATGCTCCTGCAGTTATCCCTCCGTTGTAAATGTGTCTAGTCTGTATTTGCTTTGAAACTGTCAGAGCCACTGTCCTGGCCCAGTGATCCGGGCTCTTCCATGAAACCTCTCTCTTGGCGTCTGCTTTGTATTTTGTTTGGCTTGGGCTCAGCT